TTGAGTTCCACTTTTGTGGAAATACGGCTAAAACCAGCGGNTGAAACCGTCGTAAAAAATTACAATAGGATGGCCGCTCTCAGGTTTCTCTCTGGTATTACATATATGGCTTGTATAATCCAACTTTGGTTGGCAATATTGCTAGGGAATACCGTCCCTTTTACTCCTATCCCACCGCGTCCATGAAACGCTTTAGTGACCGCGACTATACCAAGATGAAAGAGGTGATTGTTTTCTGTACTTCAAAACTGGTCAAACTTACATACACACCAAATATTGATTACTGTTTTAATGTTTTATAGCATTTGTATTTCTTTTTTTTTAAAGAATTTTGCACACAAGAACCGTTTCTCTCGAACACCGTGTTACAATGACTGAGAACTTAAGTGGACATTCGAGCGATTCCTTGATTACGCGATCTTCAAGGGAACGTAGGAATTGCTTGAAACGTGCCCTGCAGCAAACGCAAGTTTTACGTAAGAAAACTACTTTATCTCTGTTATTTTGTAATTGAGTAACTTTAATTCAAGTGATTAAATTTATTTTTCATCGATTTTCAGAAGAGGTAGTCAATGATTCTACAGTAAATATACTTGACCAGGTTATAAATGAAGCTGATCATGTTGCTCATGAAACGAGCATACAGGAAAAAAGTATGTCACTTCTACAAATGCATGTTTTTGATATGTGCGTGTGTGTGCGCGCGCGCGCAAAAGAAATCTAAAATACAGCATTGAAAAACAAAGTAGTATTTATGTTAATAACATTGTATATTTTTAGTCTTGAATCGAGAAGAAGTGGTTATTGATTCAGAAATGATGTGGACATCTTCAAAAGTCTTAAAGACTTGTACTATTTCTCTGACAAAACGGATGCATAATTATGATTATATTGACTTTGCACAAAAACTGGTATGTCTTTGTTTTTTTTTAGAGAGAACAATCCAATTGTCTGTATTTGCATTGAAATTAATTGAGATACATGATTATATCATATACTTCAAATTGTAACACTGCAGCCATGTGTTTTAGAAAAATTGCTTAGAAGATTTGTCAGGTGATTCACAACCTTTGAATTGGTCACTTTTAGAAGAACAGGTTACAAAATTGTTCAGAAGGATTCCCGACTACAACACATTGTTAGGTAGACTTATAAAATAGATAGCATGTTAGAGTAACATGCATCATATTAATATTTTATTGACTAGTACAATGCATAAATAATAATATTATTATTTTAGTGATTATTTCAGATAATTTAATTTTTTGTGTGTATGTATATATTCATATTCCACTCAAATATTATAATCTTTATTTCAGGAACATTGCAACCTTTGGAAAAGAAGATAGTGGTTAGGAAAAAACCTGAGTCAAGGCTGTCGCAACAAACTGAAATAAAAGTACCTAATAAAGTAGTGCCAAACTCAAATACCAAAGATGAAGATAGCGTCGAACGAATTGTGAGAAAGATCAGAAAATTAATCGCCATTTATTGCAAAGAAAATCATAAACCACTTGATTTTTTTCAACTGGTGTTGCATCCTCACGATTTCGGAAGAGTCGTCAGAAATATATTATACGTATCGTTTCTTGTGAAAGACGGAGTAGTAAAATTGAAGAAAGGTATACCTTTGTTGTACAAATTTTAAAATTATTGTTTTTTTAATTCCGAATTTTGGGAGTTTCAACAATTTAAAGATAAAGTTCTTATATTTCTAAAAAAACTTTTCCTTTTTATATCTTAATTATATGATCAATTTATCATTTCAGAAAATAACAACCTTGTGGTGCAACCGTGTCGTGGAATGAAAGAAGGAAATATGCAAGAGAGACGATCTAACAAAAGAACCGGTATTCAGTCTGTTATTTCGTTAAATATAAAACAGTGGATGGTAAGTTGAGAAATTTTTATAATAAATTTTGCGGTTTTTTTAAGAATTTGACGATAAATTCGCTATTTATTATAATATAAACATATCTGTCTGCTTTAAGAAATATATTAAATTTAGATATTCACAAATAAATCAAAATATTTTTGTTAGATATTGAAAGATGCGTATAAAATAGAGGAGCCAATGATCACTTTTGAGGATGAGTAACAAATTGTTGATTGACGCATCATCACTCATTAATAGGTGAGCAGAAGTTACGAGTTTTGTTGAAGTTAAAGAGTAGCACATGATCTCGAGATGATAGAACAGGACAGCGTTACGCTAATATCGATTGGTCAGTTGTCATTTTTGAAGGGTTGCTTTTGTTACACAAATATAGATATAACAAACTGTCTCTTTTGATCTTATGCAATTTAAGGCTGTGTGTATCAACATCTCAACCAAATACGCTTGAGCTCCTACTACGCGTATTGTAATATATTTTAAGGTTTATATTTTAATAAAAACATTTTCCCTAATCTTCAATTTCTTTAAAGTGCCGTACTGTGGTTTTGGTTTTTTTTTTTTTTCATGTATGAGCTTTTTTTCTTTTCTTTATTAATTATGAAGAGTCTGTCAATAAAAGAAACTGATTATTTAATTTTTAGGTAATTTTTGTTTTTATCGCATTCTTTCTAAATTTCTATTAATTTTATATTGCTATATCAAGTGTGTTACGTATTAAGAAATGATTTTTTTTTATAGAGAAAACTTTTAAAAAATGCTCGAATGATCGTAACTCACATTTTATATAATTTTTGTAAAATTTATTAGTGTCTAACATATATACTGTGAGTCTGTAGTATATGTTCACGATAGCAATGATACAATTGCCGATTTGGTTTACGAAAAAAAAAAAATATGCGCATTTCGATTATTTGTGTCCTCCGATTTTCTGGCGATTTCCGACAAACTTTTTTTTTGTAAAGGAAAGTAAAAATTAAAGCGATCTTTCAAATATATTTCTGTGTAACAAAGTATATGGCAGTATTTATATAAATTACTCTATGATAATAATTCTATAATTTGTGTCTGTATAGTTTTTTGAGAAAAGAAATTTACGTATTCTATTCTTAATCACGTCCTCTTTACGGATTTTACTTTCTTTTGAAGTTTGATATTTAATTTCACTTAAGTTCTTCTTTATAATACAATAAAATTGCAAAAAGATCGAGAAGTGACAATACAAGTTTGTCAAAAGATCACTTCGGCAAGTGAATGACGACCGAATAAATCTTTAATGACGCATTTACGATACATTATCATTATTTACGATTGTAAATAAGTTAACTTATTGCTTGGCCAACGATTCTGCTTTTGCTACTACTTCCTCGATCGGGCCGACCATGTAGAATGCTACTTCAGGTAAATGATCTAATTCTCCACCCAAAATCTTCTGGAATCCTTTGATAGTTTCTTGCAACGGTACTAATTTCCCAGCATGACCGGTGAATACTTCGGCAACCTAGAATAATATAATTAATTTTTTGTATCGCATCGAAGAACTAAAAACATTTTGAAAAAGATAGTTTACACTTAAATATACAAAGCGTTACGTTTTTTACCTGGAATGGTTGAGACAAGAATCTCTGAATTTTACGTGCACGGGCAACTGTCAGTTTATCCTCCTCCGACAACTCATCCATACCCAAGATAGCAATGATATCCTGGAGAGATTTGTAGTCTTGGAGAATCTTTTGTACGCCACGGGCGATATTATAATGTTCCGCGCCAATAATGTTGGGGTCCATAATACGGGAAGTGGAGTCGAGAGGATCGACAGCCGGATAAATACCTATGATCGTCAATAAGTTTGTTGCTCAAAGAAATCGCAGACAGTTTTAGACGTGTGTACACACCTAGTTCAGCGATTGCACGTGACAACACAGTAGTGGCGTCCAAGTGAGCAAAAGTGGTGGCAGGCGCGGGATCTGTCAAGTCGTCGGCCGGCACGTATATAGCTTGCACGGAAGTGATGGATCCCTTCTTCGTCGTAGTGATACGTTCCTGCATAGTACCCATATCGGTGGCCAACGTAGGTTGATAACCTACGGCAGATGGAATACGACCTAGCAAAGCGGATACCTGAAATATGCAAAAATATATTTGTTTAATTGTATATATTATATATACACAGTCAAACCTCGATAACTCGAGCCTCTATACCTCGCAAACCTCTATGAGAGAAAAATTTTGTTCATTCCCTTCCGCTCTGCGGAAAGGAAAAGAGAACTTCGATAAGTCGAAACCTCTACAACTCGAAGATTTTAGCTCTTTCCTTGAGATTCGAGTTATCAAGGTTCGACGTGTGTGTGTGTGTGTGTGTGTGTGTGTGTGTACACACGCGCGCGCGCGCGCATATAAATATGTATACATAAATTGCGTAAATTACACATTTGCTACAAATTTATGTTTCATAAACACTTTCCTGCAGATTTAATGTAGAATAGCAATCATTTTTACTCTCACTTACCTCAGAACCTGCCTGGGTAAATCTGAAGATATTATCAATGAATAATAATACATCCTGACCTTCTTGGTCACGGAAATATTCGGCAACGGTGAGTCCAGTGAGCGCTACACGAGCACGAGCGCCTGGCGGCTCGTTCATCTGCCCGTACACCAACGCTACTTTAGATGTCTTGTCCTTAAGAGAGATGACACCAGATTCGATCATCTCGTGGTAGAGATCATTACCTTCGCGCGTTCTCTCGCCCACACCAGCAAACACCGAGTAACCACCGTGAGCTTTAGCTACGTTGTTGATGAGTTCCATAATAAGTACGGTCTTACCGACTCCAGCGCCACCAAAAAGACCTAGTGAATGATATTAATTTTTCTGTGAAAATAGTCTTGGATTTATTGCTAATTAATTCTAATCACACCTGCATCTTACCAATCTTTCCACCTTTAGCGTAAGGAGCCAGCAGATCTACAACCTTGATGCCTGTGACTAATATTTCTTGCTCGACAGACATGTCCACGAATTCGGGAGCGTCCGCGTGAATAGGGGCTAGTTTGTCAGTGGGAATAGGACCACGCTCGTCGATAGGTTCACCGATCACATTAATAATGCGACCCAGAGTCTCAGCTCCTACAGGAATACGAATGGGGTATCCAGAATCTAGGACATTCTGTCCACGTACCAAACCTTCTGTACCTATAACAGTAACAACAGAAACTTTTTATAATAGTTTTTACAAAATACAAAAATAGTGCTTGAAATTGCAAAATTAATAATTCTCACACATACATCATATTGTACAATCATTTAAAAGTATTACCGTCCATAGCAATAGTGCGGACTGTGTTTTCTCCAAGATGCTGAGCAACTTCAAGTACCAGTCTAGGAGTCCGATTTTGTACCTCCAAGGCGTTAAGAATTGGTGGAAGAGCATCTTCAAACTGTACATCTACAACAGCACCGATAACAGCAACTACTTTTCCCTGTGCACCACCCTTGGACGTAGCTGCAGTTTTGGCTGCATAATCTCTTCCTATAATTACAAACCAAGTTTTTATCATTTTCACACTTTTAAAGAAGACCAAAAAGTACACTAAATATTTTATTCTCTTTTCTGAAAGATTTTCAATCTCTAAATATATTATAGTTGGACATCTCTACCTCAAATGTCAAGAGATAATAATTTAAGTAAAGATTTCATCCCTGAATAACAAAATTATATATCAGATCAGCAAGTTTCCATCATTTATAGATGTTTGCAATCAATTTGCATAAATTCAAGATAAATGTGTGCATATTACATAACATACAATATATTTCTATCTATATGTGACTACTATAGCAATTGTATTTCACAATCTTTGTAGAAATTTCTTATATTATATATACATATATTTAATATTTTTATAATCATTCTTTCAAAATGTGTCTTCCTAATGTGTTCACATATATAAAGACAAACAATCAAATTAAAAATATAAAAATATTTAACAGTTGCAAATTCATTATTGATTAGACAAAAAAAATATGATATAAGATTAAAAACGCGACATCGTACTCGTGTATCGAATTACTCTGTAATATTCAAACAAAAAACTCATTTGCTCAGATGCAAGGAACGAACGAAACTTTAAGCCGCCATATTGGAAAGTAATATCTGTTACAATCGATCGTTGATTATATAATCGGTGATGTGGTTTATTTGCAACAATCATTTGATAATTCGAATGACACTTGCAAAAGGAAGTCCTTTTTTGACAAAAAGGAAGAAAGAATTTAGCTTGTGCGTTTACGTACTAAAAATTGTTCTTATCAGAAAGTATCACTTGACAAACGTGAATACACGGTGATCTCGTCGACTCTTGCAATTTCGTCATTTTTCACACATGCGAAAAAATACTCACTGTTAACGAGAACGCTCGACACCTTCGCCACTTCATTCTGCAAGAGCGAAGGTTTCGCGACCCTTAGGGCCCCGGCAGCTGCTTTCGATACGACACTCAGAATCATGACCGGTCGACTGAAAAAAAGATAACCGAATGGATGCAGTGGTCTCGTCGAACGTGCACCGCGCGTGCGCTGATGTGCGCACAAAATCAGCGCAAGATCACTGCATTGGGTGCGTTCAGACAACTCAACGTTGAGAGATCATCACTTATGATAGGACTATTCTTCAAAATATTGTGACCGGAGCTGCACTCTTAGATGTCCGGCCTAACCCTTTTTGTTATAATTTTCACCTTTTTTAATTTCTTTCCACGGTCGCCAGCCGGGTTTTCTATACTCCCGACAAGATTTGTTTATTAATACGCATTTACTTAGGCCTGTTCTACAATACTGTCGTAAGCTGTAAGTCGTAAGAAATTGACCAATCGCAATCGATTATTCTTCTGTAATTGGTCTGTGATTGGTCAATTTCTTACGACTTACGGCTTACGACTGTATTGTAGAACAGGCCTTACAGGTTTTCCCGGGTTTTCCCTGATTCGGGCTTCCACGCGAAACGTATAAAATTTTCGCCTGTCTCCGTCTTGATACTTCGCCGTCCTTGCCGTCGAATGAGCGGCTCGATTTGCTTTCGGCACTTACCTGGTCATTGGCACGATACGCGTTACCTCGATGGCCTCTCCAATCCGAGCAGAGTTCCCGGCTATCCAGTTTGGAATGTGCCCGATAGCACGTCTCTTCGCACTTGATGGTTCTATTGCTATCCTCGTCTGGTTTCTTAAAGCCTCCCCTTAATTATCCACGCCGTTTCTGACGTTTGTTCCTTGATAATACGGTGAGGATGAAATGAAACGGTTCAGGATGAAAGGTTCCTTTTGTTGCACTTACTTTTTATTAATAACTCGTTCACGGAACTACACAGTATGTATATAAACGCGTACACTATACGTTGTCAAACGCGCTCTTCTCACTGTGGGGTTTCAAACCCTTTGCCCTCAGTGTGAACAAACCTTTCTCAATTTAATGAACCAAAGTCCAGCTTTCTTATTGGCCCGGGCCTCGTCGCCGATCTAGTGACAAGATTACCTTTATTCTTATTCGCGATCGAATGACTGACCACGTTCTCGTCGGGCGCTCGCAATATATAGGTCTCTCCCCCTCCTGCTCACACAAGACCCGATCTTTCCGGAACGCCCCGGATTCTGGAAGGTTCTAGACCTTCTCTTTTCTCGAGCCTTCCGGAGCCTCCTATTCTAGTCCGTACCTATTCCGCTCGGGATTGTTCTATCACGCTATTAGTTATTATATATATGGTTTTTATTATTCTTATTCCCGCCACCGATTTACAAAAGTTTTTTTTTTTTTTTTTTTTTTTTTTTTTTTTTTTTTTTTTAAACCCTAACGCGCTTACATATCTATATTTATTCTTTATTTTTTATAACTTATATTAATATCTATTGTCTATCTCCTTATAGTTCCCGATCCTTCCAGAATGGATCGTTTCCCTCTACCGTGGTACATTCGGATGCGTCCGACTGTACTTCGTTCGCCGTCGCCGGCTGATGCGCCCGAATGTACATAAGGATCCGATCCAACTGCGCCTGCGCCTCCGCTGAACTGTCCTCACCAGATGCGCGTGCCTCGGCTTCTCGCTGCTGCCTGCCTCCGACCTTAAGGCGCGACGCTGTAGGTCCTGCAGTTCCCGGAGCAGCTGGATCTGCACCGGATTCGTCACCGGTCGCAATATGCTGCGGTTCCAAAAGTATGATCCAATTAGAAGTGATTATCTCTCAACCGTTGTGCAACTGTTGAGTTGTCTGAACCAGAGAGAAGCCTGAGAGCGGCCAGGCCCATAAAGCCCCTTGCACAATGGAAAGAATAGCGATAGCGATAGAAATAACACAGTTTTAGACACAGAATTCCAACTCGTCGGAAATTTTATCGCTATTGCTTATTCCGATTTTCTGATCTGCATTGATACATGTGTATTTTTGTATGTTAGATTCCGCTGTTCCTATTGTTATTTAGAAATATAAACTCTTTACAACTGGTATTATTTCTATCACTATTGCTATTCCGTCTATTGTGCAAGGGGCTTAAGAGTTTTTACGATTATCGCTATTCCGGCCCGTAAGCTAGCGCATGTCCATGAATGGTGCACATTGACCATGTTCAGCAGACTGAGCAGATCAGTGAGCGCTTAGAGTTTTTCAATATAATTGGTTTCTACACTTAGATCCAGAGAAGATCAGAGAAGAAAGGCAAAATTCAATCATGATAAAGAAACACTAAGCGTTCACTGATCTGCTCAATCTGCTGAACGCATATATGTAATACTTCTATATTGTTAGTCGCGTATCTTGGCAATGAGAGGCCCGAGGCCCGAGAAAGAGAGATGCACGAAGTCCAAATATGGGCATAGATAGTCGAGCGTCATTATTCGCAGGCGCGTCTACTAAGCGAGTGCGAGCGAGACAAAGCATTGGAAAGTGAGAGAACGCGAAGAAAGAACGCGAGAAAGAAAAATACCCAAGCGTGCTTGAATGTTTGCACCGCATGCGCACAAAGCAGCTGGACCATGCGCGAGAGAAAGGCTACTATATTGTCTGCACCGTAACGTGTGAGCTTCAAGTCGGCACCGTACTAGCAATATAGGTCTAGTTTCCACCGAAGCATTCATTCACACCTAAGGGTGCGATCCCATGCACTGTTATTTTTTGCGTAACGCGTAACGCGTAACCAATCAGAGAAATTACGTGTACTAACATAAAACACGTAATCTCTCTGATTGGTTACGCGTTCCGCGTTACGCGAAAAATAACAGTGCATGGGATCGTACCCTAATGCAACGTAGAATCAAATTTAAGTCGATGGAAACCTATCAAATTGAGCTGATTTTGCTTCCGCTTCGATCTATAAGACCCGGTTTCACAATTCGCGGTTAACTCGAATTAACCGAAGTTCGACTTGCTGAGCTCGGTTTAACGCGTTCAATCTTTTTTGTCAAATCTTCGCTAACCAATCACAGTTCATGGTTAGGAAAAAAAGATGCGTTACGCCGAGTTCAGCAAGTTGGGCTTCCGTTAATTCGAGTTAACCGTCAATTGTGAAACCGGGCCTAAGTACTCTACTTCCAATGGAAACGGAACACTAAATTTAATCCGTACCGGAGTGAAATCGAATTGAGGGTTTTGGTGGAAACTAGACCATAGAAGTATTACATATATGGCTGAACGTGGCCAATGTGTTCAAATAATATCGCTCTTATCAGATAGCAGCACTAGTGGCCCATATAAATATGGCTGAAGGTTGTTTAGAGGTCAAATCCCCTCCTCACCATGGCTTCACTCCCAGCGCCTATACCCAGATAGCACTTAACATTGCTATGAACGTTCTATAAATATTCTTCAAGAATATGTCGAATATTCCATTGAACGTTCTTATATATTCATCGTATATTTATAGAATAAGCGAATGGCACTACTGTAAATGTTTTTCGAATATGAATAGAATAATCTATAGAATATTCTATAAAACATTTATA